TACATGCATTTATTTTTTTCTTTTACCTGACAGCTCTTGGTGAACCTCTTCTTCTTTTCAGTCGTGGATTTCATCTCAGCGAGAGTAACCCCACAGGTAAGTAGATTTCTCAAACTGCCTGGTAGACCCATTTGTCACTGTTCAACAGTCACATAAACTTGCAAAGGTGGAGTGGATAGCTCAGTTGGTTAGAGCATGGTGCTGACAATGCCAAGGTTGCAGGTTCAATACCCGCAAGGGACAGCTGCGTATTCCTGTATTGCAGGGGGTTGGACTAGATGATCCTCAGGGTCCCTTCCAACTCTGATTCTACAAGTCATAAAATTCCTGTGCTTTTAAGTATGTGATGATTGTTACAACCTTTGCCTGTCTGCTGCTTATCCTGAAAGGAAGCCTGAGAAGTAGGAAGCTCCTCTAAACCTGTTCTGTATAGATGGGTAAACTCATGGAGAAAGGTAGTGGGGTTTGCTCAAAGTGACCCCATGGCTGTTGCCAGTGGCTCTGGTAATGCCTCCAGGGTGTACCAAAGAGGGGAGGTACGTGTGTGCTTTTCCCTTGTAACTTGCAGGAGGGCATGGATGCTCACAAAGCCTTGGATTGGAGCTCAAAGCTGCTTCAGGGCTTGGAGGAACGAGGTGCATCCTGGCTGGCCATCTTCAGTTCAGCAGTGAAAGGTACGAACGCTCCTTCATAAGCTGCAGCCATCTGAGGGTTGTAGCCAGCTAAGTACTGCTCAGGCTAGACCATTAACAGACAGAACCTCCGTTACTTTCAATGGATCTAGTGGAAATGAGTTGGATACAACCCCCAAGAAAACAACTGTGAGAAATGTTTGATTGAAAGCTGGAGCCCAGCTAAGATCTGTCTCTTTTGGCATTGCAGACCACAACCCTTACCAAATCCTGCATGGTACTGTATCACATCAACACTTGAGGCTGTTACCGGTTGCCTTCTATAGGTAAATTTCACAAATGTATTCTGTGTGTAATGAATATACTTGCTGAGAAAATCAAGGGTACCAGAAACTTGTCAAGGGCCACTTTATGCACTTGCTTAACTGATACATCCAACCACCCAGTAATCCCAAGTTAAGAAAGAAGCACCATTAATAGCCTGTATTTTGTGGAGTTTCTGCATCCTTCCTCCCACCTTCATTTTATTTTTTCATTTTGATGTTTTAGTGGTCCTCACCAACCATGTGCCCCCCAGCTCTTTTGGACTATAGCTCTCATCCATCCCAGCCAACATGGGCTGTTGGGAGTTTTTATATGGTAGAGGCACTTGGGAGTTTTGTTCTATGAAGATAAGGTAAAGGTAAAGGTACGGGCCAGTCGTGACCGACTCTAGGGTTGTGCGCTCATCTCGCTCAAGAGGCCGGGAGCCGGCGCCATCCGAAGACACTTCCGGGTCACGTGGCCAGCGTGACGAAGCTGCAACTGGCGAGCCAGCACCAGTGCCGCACACGGAAACGCCGTTTACCATCCCGCTATAAAGCGGTACCTATTTATCTACTTGCACTTTGACGTGCTTTCAAACTGCTAGGTGGGCAGGAGCTGGGACCGAATGACGGGAGCTCAACCCGCCGCGGGGATTCGAACCGCCGACCTTACGATCAGCAAGTCCTAGGCACTGAGGTTTTACCCACAGCGCCACCTGCGTCCCCCTCTATGAAGATAAAGTGGAATGCAAATACAAGCTAGAGGCTTCCCCTGCTGCTTTTTAGCAGGACATCATCACAGCCTCCTTTTTTGCTTTGCTGTCCTGACTCTGGGCAGGGGGCAGTGTCTATTGCCGAATTCAGAAGACAAGAACTGCCATTGTGGGCCTAGTGAACAGTCTCGTTTCAGCACCCCAGAACCTACCACAAATGGGCAGAAATGCCATGAAAGTTACAAGCAGGTCACAAAGGCACACCTCAACCAGTATCTGGAGAGTGGCCTTTTGGGCTGTCAAGGCCAAAATCTATCAAATTTGGCTTTCAGTTTGTCCTCTAGTCCTTCTTAAAAGGCATTTGTGCTAGTTATACGAACCAGCCCAGATCCATCAGAGGCCCTTCTCTGTGTGTCCCACCTGAGAGGGGTGTGGAAGTTGGTCACACAAGACTGGACCTTTTTCAGTGGTGGCCTCTTATCAGTGGAGTGCTCTCCCCAGGGAGACACACCTGGGGCCATTCTTGTCAGTCTTTAGGTGTCAGGTTAAGACCTTTTTGTTCACTCAGGGTTTTGTATCGTTGCCTTTTTGTGGTGCATTTTAACTTGTCAAGTGGCGTAGACTTTTCATTGTGTTGAAGTGACTTGATACATGTAGATAAATCATCATCACCACCACAAAACCCTTCTAAACTTGTTTTGAATTTTTAAGTCAAAAGGCATGGCTGAGTGGCTGGGCTGCAAGTCTGCCTGCAGACGTACATCTATGCAAAGCGAGCAGGGAGCCTGACCTGGTCACACTTGTTGCCTGCTTGGTCTGCTAACTTGTTCTTTCTTCTGTAGCCTCGTCGTCACCTTTGAACCAGGACACCTTATTAAGGAGCAAGCATTCCTGTATGTTGCCATTGACATGTACACACAGTTGCTGCAGCTCTTTATGGATGGGACAACAGCAGTGGGACCAAGCCTACATTCCATTGAGCCTGTGAGCATCTCATCCCCATCCCTTTCATTTGTTTAGATCAGCCCCTCTGCTTCCTTCCAAAGTACAGAACCATCCTGTTCCCTTTTTGGCTAGCCACAGTCTTTATTTGCCTATTGTGTTGACTCTATGAGTCATTATTTGGGCAGCACCCACCTCCTACTTGGGAGCACCTGGAACAGATTAGGGCTCAGTGATGAAAGGGGGATGTGTGTGAGAGAGAGAGACTGCAGCTGTTCTGATAAACAGCCATGTCATTCAGCTTTGCATTTCTGTCTTTGCTGGCTTCTGGCAATATATATAGTTTTACCTCCAAGCAAAGTCACTCAGGGAAAACCAGTGTGGTGTAGCGGTTAGTGTGGCCGACTGGAACCTGGAAAAACCAGGATTCAAATCCCCAATCAGCTGTGAATCACACTGGGTGACCTCGGGCCAGTCACTGCCTCTAAGCCTGACCTACTTCACAGGGTTATGGTGGGGATTAAATGAGTTGAGGAACCACTGATACCACCTTGCACCCCTTGGAGAAAAAAGGTGGGATATAAATGCAATAAATAAAAGTCTGAGTAAGATCAGTCTACAGAAGTATTATTCACTGTTTCCATTCTGAAAATGTGTTCAAAGCAGAAGCAGATTTAGCTTAGATACCAGGAAGATGTTTCTAACGGCTGATGCATTTCAGTACCAGCGAAAACTGCCCATGGGCGAGAATCCATTTGAGAAAAGCTACACCAACCAGGGGTTAGAACAGGGATGGGGAACATCTCTCAGCCATTTTGAGCTCAGCCCTGTTGTTGGGAAAGCGGAATACAAATATTTAATCTAGATCTGTGGTCCTCAAGATGTGGTTGAATTCCAGCTCCCATCATCCCATGCCATGCTAGCTGGGGCTGACTTCCCTGCCCTTGGATTAGATGAGTCGCCAGCTGCATCCCTTCTGTTCCTGCAACTGTTAAGCTGTGGCTTAGTTGCAACATTATTTGAATGGTGCCTGTCTTTCCCAGGAGTCGTCACTGGCACTGATAAGAAGAGCACGGCAGTTCCTGCTACGTGCAGTCCCCCAGTGTCCTCAAGGGAGCTTTTCCAGCCTCCAGCAGGTGGGTGAAAGGTCTTTCTGCTACCTCAAAACTTGGGAAATCCAGGGCTGCTGGCAACAATGTGGATTGTCCTGTTGATCCATCCAGCAATCAGTTCAACAAAGCCAATGGCGACTGGCTCAGTCTTTCAGCCCTCTACTTCACACTTCCTTTGCAAAGATCTTTCTATTTTGTTTTATTTGGAGATGGCTTTGTACAGAGGTCATATCCAGCATTTATTCTAGGAGAAGGGGACAGAAACTCAACTTCGCCATTTTAGAGGGGGTGAGCACAAATTAATAGTAGGACTTTTGAGGAAGAAAAAGCTGAAATGTGCCCAATATTGGTCTGGCTGCACCTGAAGACTGGCCCTTGCTCTGCATCTCCTAAAGGCCTACTTAAAGTGGAGGTGTTTTCCAGCCTGTCTGTGGGTTCCATTCACTGGAAATGCTGGGATTGAACCCAGGCCTTAATGCTTTGCATGTCTGGCTCTATACCTGAAGCACAAGCCCCTGCGTAGGATCCTCTGAGGCTCTCGAGCAGTTATTTCCCATTCTCCAGTCCTGTGGTTGCTTCCAACCTCATGTAACTGGCAAAAGGGCAAGGAAGACTGTGCCTTTTAAAACTTAACAGTTGTAGTGGGTAGGAACCCTAGCTCAATGGTAGAGCACATGCTTTGCATCCTTGGCAACTCCCAAGAATAGAGCTGAGAAAGGCCCTTTTCTGCCCAAGAACTGCCAGCCAGTCTGACCTGGTATCCGGCAGCTTCCTCTGCTCCTAGCCTTGCCGCCCGTGCGCTCCAAGCAGGAAGCAGCTGTGCATTGACTCTTTGCACACCTTTGGCTCCTGCCGTCCACAGGTGTGGTAGATTACCAAACACTGTGACCTGTGTGCTCCTAGAAATGACATGGCCAGGCCAGAGATCTGTCTTTTCAGAGTGCTGCTGGCTGATTGCAGCGAGGCTGAACCGGAGGCAGCTTTTCTTTACAAACCCGATGTCATCGTGCTGTCTGCGGACAGTCTGCCCAAGGATTTAGCTTCAGAGAGGTAGCAACAATTGACACCAGACTCTTTTCCTTCTTAGCTGATGAGTCTCTGTGAAGACTTGGACCCAGAGATGAAGGCTGCCCTTGTGAACTCCAGTGATGATGGGGACCTGCTTGATGAAGAACTTCTCCTTTTCTGACAGCGGAAGTCCAGGCAGGCAGGCATGGGGCGATTCCCTGCCCACCCGGACAAAATGCACAGATAGGGAAAAGTGGACACGCCTGCAAGGGCTTAATCTGTTCAAAGTATGGTGTAAATAATTTATTACAAGCATGACCATGACTTTGTAACAATAAAAACCATGTTACAAATATTCTGGTTCGTCTTTCTTTTTCAGATTGGCTTTGGAATTTAATTTAAAACAAGTTGTCTCGGGCTTAAACTGGGCTTTCCGTCAGCTTGAGAGCCTCTAAAAATGAGCCTGTGCCTATGGCCGACACACCTTTATAACAGGTGCGATACCTTTTCTGAGCTCAACCAATCGCCACATCAGAGGGAAGGCAGGACAGCCTGCTTCCTTTGGCGAGACGGATATGGCTCTGTAAGACACTGCTACGGTCTTGGACACAAACACACACACGGAGAATAGTCACAGCAATGGAAAGCTTTTCACCAGCAAGCAGAAGCGAGTCCCCACCCCTTTCTCTTTTTTGGAGGATCCGTTAAAACGTATGTTTAAAACTCCCACTCAGTGTTGCTTTATGCAAAGCTGGATCAGGGCTCCCATCCAGGGCTCTTTCAGGTGGGCTCCTGCTGCACACTCGGTTCCAATTTTACAGGATGGTTCTCCGCAGTCTCTGAAGCCTCCGACAGAGCCTCTGGCAGAGCCTCTTGCTCCAGCTCAGCAGCCTTGGCTTTGTCCTGAGTCTGGGTGAGGGGATGCACCATGGACATGTGGACGTTGAGGTTGTGGGCCTTTTCAAAGCGCTTCCCACATTGGTCGCAGGCAAACTCCAGCTCAGTCTCTGCTTTGTGTTTGGTCATGTGGTACTTGAGGGATGCTCGCTGCCTGCACTGGAAGCCACAGATTTCACACCTGCAGGGGGAAAGCAGGAAGCGGACCTCAGACCAGCCACACGGTCTCATCCCCATGAAGGAGGGGGAGCAGCAGCACAGCCTCAGCCTTGGAAGAAATATATCAGCTGCTCTCAGACAGGTGAGAGGATGCTTCCAATAACCAAGTGTATTTTATCTACTAAGAACCCTGAATACCGAGCTGCACTTGAGACTATTGCTGGGGCGGGAAACATGCTTCCAGATTTTAGTTTGGATGTCCCGATCAAAAATCCAGGATGCTGGTGGACGCTGTGTCCTCTCTCTCTGTGGGAACGGAATATCCTACAGGAGAAGTGGAAGCTTAGCTCTTGCTGGTCAGACACTGCAACCTTGTTCCTTTTACAGACCGGCCAGCCCTCTGTTAGGAACTGGTGCTTTAACAAGACAGATTTGTATGGCATTTCTCTCCATCACTCCAGGTTAGTTGCACTAACCTGCATAGGTGTTTTTTAACATCTCACCAGCAGCAGCACTCCTTCATTCTGAAGTGCAGGAGAGGCCACAGTCCACCTAAAGAAATCTGAGTGCTGTTCTCCACTATGGCAAAATGAACAGTCACATGTACAGTCGTACCTTGGTTGACGAACATCTTAGCACTCGAAATTTTTGGCTCCCGAATGCCACAAACCCAGAAGCGAGTGTTCCAGTTTGCGAACGCTCTTTTGGAAGCCGAACGTCTGGTGGGGCTTCCGATTGGCTGCAGGAAGCTCCTGCAGCCAATCGGAAGCTGTGCATTGGAAGTCAAATGAACTTCCGGAACGGATTCCGTTTGGCTTCCAAGGTACGACTGTAATTCTGCATTGAGACAAGATGGTTTTGCAGGAAATGTTTCCCAAACCAGTCCTAGAATCATCATTTCCCACACTACTGGACGTATGAACCAAAAAACCAATCCCAGGACCCAAAATGTGTGTGTGTGCTACAACTTAATTTGGAAGTGTCGTTATTGGCCCATCTGCAAGGGAGATGACTTTTCTTCAACCTCGTTAGTTAGGGCATACTAGTTTTCAAATTTGAGTAATCTTAAAATGCCCCCTGAAGGCAACACAGCTTATCCCTAAAAGGCCATAGGCAAAAAGTGTGCTTACTGGAGAGGCTTTGCTCCTGAGTGGCGCATCTGGTGAACGGAGAGGTGTTTGCGTTGCTTGAATGTCTGGCCACATTCGTCACAGATATAGTTCCGCACCTCTGCAATGGGAGAAGGGAACAGGGTTGAAAATCACAATGACTTGGGTGGCTGTAAAAAAAGGGGTTTAGGAGAATTCATGGAGTAAAAGGCTACCAACAGCGAGTGCAGTACTAACCCCCCCCACCCCAGCATCAAAGGCAGTCTACCTCAATACTAGCAGCTGGAGAACGTGTGTGAAGAAGTCTGATGCAGGCTTCCCCTAGGTATCTGGCTGGCCATTGTGGGAGCTGCGAGCTGTGGATGCCCCTCTGGCCTGACACCAGCAGCCCAGCCTCTTCTTATGTTACTGGGACTGTCTCCATCATTGACACTCTTGGAAGAATTTGCTTAGGGGTTTCTGATTGCATTTTGTGTGAGCCTCTTAAAGAGACTTCATTACATTAAGCAGTAAATAAGTAATGAAAATGAAATGAATGAAAAGAATGGCGGCAGAGGAGGGGAATAAGATGGCAATGTTTTCTGCAGTTTTTCCCCAGAAGTAACCAGAGCACTTTTCCAATCCTTTCTCTGTGATGATACAGAGGTCTGCACAGTTTGTGGGCAGGTTAACCGCAGATCCATGAATATCAACATTATTTTTATTTTTTAGTTTCTTAAGTTGCTTCATACAAAACAGCCTGCAAACAACCTAACTTAACAAAATATAAAAACAGATAAAATTAATTAACAGCCAAATTAAAAACAATAAATTTGCAATTCAAAATTCCTAAAATTTTCTTCCAATAATACAGGAAGAAGGACAATTTTTGTCCTATCCAACTAAAAGATGAGCACCACAGTAGAGGCTAACTTAACCACCAGAAGCATGGGCTAAATAAAAACGTCTTACAATGATGGTGCCAGACATGTCTCCCTGGGGAGAGCATTCCAGATGGGGGGCCACCACTGAAACAGCCTGTTCTCCTGTGCCGTGTGTGATGCCTGATTCTGCCCAGGGCATTTCTTTCTCTTCCATGCAAATCCTCCGTCATTCTCTCATAAGCGCAACATACCTGTATGAATGAGCTTCACATGGCGCTGAAGGTACCGGTCAATCATGAACACCTTGTTGCAACCTGGATGCGGGCAGGGCCTTTCTCTGACCTCCTCATGATGCTCTTTGATGTGCTTCTAAATGAAAGAAGAGAGAGCAAGATCTTCACACAGAGCCACCCTTTCACTCCATGCAGGTTTGCGGGCAGTGACAATCTGATCACCTATGGCAGGCCTGGCTAACTGGGGGCCCTCCAGAGGTTTTGAACTACAAGTCCATCTGCTGGCTGAGGCTGATGGGGATTGTAGTCCAAAACGTCCTAAGGGCAACTGGTTGGCCAAAGCTACTCCATGATCACGTGAACAGAATGAGAAAGGAGGACGCTGCATCCATTTCCTCAAACTGGCAGCAAAATCTGGATTAAACACTTTTAAAGTCATAAGCTTTTCTCCTTGTTTTTCTCTTGTAAGCTAGGGTTACTCCCTCCCGTTAGGCAGGGCTGTCAATCATTACAAACTGGCTTTTGATTGGTTCGCTTCCACCCAAAGGAACTGGGGGAAGGTGGTGGCAGGGAGAGAGAGACACTTGTTCCAGAAAGTAAAGTCCCGCCGAGGGTCTGACGACTCCAAATAAATGTAGCTAGTAGTTATCCACATACCTTCATGCCATCTGCACCTCTGTACACAGCTGTACAGCCCTGATAAGGACACTTGTAAATAGTGGGCAGCTCTTCCCTTAAAAAAAGCAGAGGAAAGAGTAACTGGTGAGTAGGTTGGACCATTCTTGGGGGCGGGAATCTCACACCTTGGAAGCTTTGGGTATATGATACCTTTCACATTTGATTTTCTTTTTCCAGCCAGGTTTGGGTCCTGGCTTCTTCCTTATTTTGGGCTCTTCAAGCTTCTTTGCTTCTCTGCTTTCAACGTTCCTGTTGTTGGATACCCTAACAGAGGAGGAACAGGGAACTGTAGTTACATGTCAACTGAGGTTATAAAACAGGGGTGAACGACCTCCCTACCCCTGTTGAGGGCTGCATCTCCCTATTTCTGCCCCCCTCCCCAATGCCTACATGAAATTAAGCCAGTGCAAGGCTCTCAGGCTGGCCACCCATTAATAAACGCAAACATTTGAAAGCCTTACATAGAGACTAAATTGTTGAAATAAAGGGAAGTATACACATCACTCGTTTCAACAGCACAAGGATTTGCACAATGGAATATTCCCACCCTATCCTTCCCCTGCGCTCTCCACAAATCTGCTCGGAGGGTTGAGGGAGCCCCTAAAACAGATTGAAGGGGCTTTTAGGGGTCCGGAGAATATTCCATTGTACAAACCCTTGCACTGACAGAGCGTTTGCATAGCTCTACTTAAAATACAATCCTAAACAAATGAACGCATTTGTGAGGAGGCTGAAAAGAAACCTGCTCACTCCTAAGAAAAGAGAGAATGTGCGAATGTGCGGGGAATGGATGTGGGCCTTTGCCCACTGAGAGTGGAAGAGGTTGCAAAAGGTAAAATGCCTTCGAGAGAAAGAAGCTACCACTCCTGTCTTTTGCCGCAGCAAAAGGACAAGAAAAAGCCCTCACCTCTTTTCTGGGTAAGGCTCAAAGTAGTCGTCCGAAGACTGCGCTCTCTTGTCGTTCTCGTCGTCACTCAAGGAGTATCTGAGAAAGTAAACAGGCCCTTTCACTAAAGCAGAAGGCAGGTGAAGCCTCATTGGGCCTTTATGTTGACAGCGGGGGGGGGGGGTGAGCTCAAGAGAAAATGCTGCAAGTCCGGCTGCCCCAAAGTGAGCTTTCCTTCTTCAAGAAAACAACACACTCCAAACAGTGGCCCAGAACCACTCAATGTAAAGGCCGCTATGCTACAAAAAGGCGAGCAGAGAAACTGCCCTGCCATGTGGGTTCCTGGGCATCAAATAATTGGAAGCCCAGCCTTTGGAGTCTTTTAAAAAGCAAGTGCCCAGCTCTAATCAGTTCCATGCTTAAAAGCTGAAGGTGGTGCCTGCAAAAGGTTTCAGACCAAAGTAATGTAGGGAGCTGCCTTACACCAAGTCAGACCAATGATCCATCCAGGTTGGTATTATACACTGACTGGCAGCAGCAGCTCTACAGAGTTTTAGGCAGGGGGCATTCCCAGCCCTACCAGGAGGTGCTGAGCATTGAACCTGGGACCTTCTGAATGCAAGGCAGAGGCTCTACCACTGAGCTATAGCCTTCCCCCACAAGATCACTTGCTAAGACTCCCCCCAGTTCTCTGTCTAGGCACCTTACCTGCCCACTTTTTTGCCAGCTACATTTTTGTAAATCATTTAGAGGTGCTTTTTTAAAAAAACAAACCCCCAAAACCATCAAGTGGTATATACATTCAATAAAATAAGTAAAATAATAAGACTGCCCCAAGTGACATCCTTTGGAATCACTGCCATAGGCAGTATGGATTTTTATCTGTTCACGTTCTGGCCCATCAGTGAGAATAATATATCCAGTATCATAAAAAAAAACAACCTCCAATACTTGGACATTATTTATAACCTTTGTGAAGAACAAAGGTTATAAACAGAGATAGTAACTGCAACAATTAATTTGAACTAAACTTAAGGTAGTATTAAGGAGTTGTTGTTACAGTTAATAATTTTGTATTTTTACTATTGGACTGCATTGCTTCTAATAAAGGCCACAAAAACCACCCTTTGTGCTGTCCTGACCACTTCCTCCACCCCCTAAACAAGCCGTCTCCAGTGACTGGACCCTCCAGTGAGGAATGAGATCCACTCCCGCCCCACAATCATTGTTCATGCTTGCAAAGGTGACATTTGAATCCCGCTCTTCTTCTCTCACCCCTCAAAAAGGTCACTGAACTCGTCTTTTACCCGCTCATCCGAGGCTGCAGAGGGAACCGGCTTCTCACTCAGTGGCCCTAGAAGACGGAGAATAATGCGTGTTGCAAAGGGAGCAAAGGAAGGCAAAACAGTCATCAAGGCACAACAGTCCTGCGACACCCGACCCAACGGAGCATAAGAAGAGCCTGTCTGCCGGGTCAGGCCCACCCAGCCCAGCATCCACTTCTCGCTGTGGCCAGCCAAAGGATGTGGGCCTGAGCTCACCTTGGCAAGAGCCTGCTTCGCTATGAGAAGACGCGAGTGTCTGGGCACACTGGCTGGAGGGAAAGCCAAGTTAACGGGGCGGAAATTAAAAAGCAACAAGAATGCAAAGGGCACGCCTGGTCCCAGACAGCTGAGCTATAAATCAGAAATGCTGGCACTCAGCTCTGTGAACGCACTGCTTCCACACAGGCTTCAACAGCTGAACACTCAGAAATAATGATGATGATGATGATGATTTATTTGTACCCCACCCATCTGGCTGGGTTTCCCCAGCCACTCTGGGCGGCTTCCAACAAAGATTAAAAATACATTAAAATGTCACACATTAAAAACTTCCCTGAATAGGGCTGCCTTCAGATGTCTTCTGAATGTCAAGTAGTTGTTTATCTCTTTAACATCTGGTGAGAGGGCGTTCCACAGGGCAGGCGCCACTACTGAGAAGGCCCTCTGCCTGGTTCCCTGTAGCTTTGCTTCTCGCAATGAGGGAACTGCCAGAAGGCCCTTGGCGCTGAACCTCAGTGTCCGCACAGAACGATGGGGGTGGAGACGCTCCTTCAGGTATACTGGACCGAGGCCGTTTATGTGTATATTGTGTGTCTGTGTATATATGTGTATATTGTGCAAACAAATGTGCAAAGGCCTGTGTGGAGTTGTGACCCGCAATCCCCATGACATCCTGGAGATACATCCTTGGCATGCCACTTACCTGGACTGCCATTCAGAGGGCAGTCTGGCTGCGGCAGGCTTTCCTCCTGCATAGGAGCTTCCGAGGCATCTTGGAAGGAAGGCAAATCCTGGCTCTCCGGCACCCAGCTTTCTGTGCTAAGCGCAGGTGGAGGAGTCTCACTTTTTGCAGGTTGCTGGCTGGCTGCCGTATGAGTGGCGCCATGCTGGGGTTCCGGCGGTGCTGCCGCAGCCACAGTACAGTCGGCCCCCACCCCGTTGCCCGTCACGTGCGCCTGCTGCGGGGCAGGGCCCTTGTTCAGTTCCCACTTGACGGACAGGGCGTTGTCCACCAGCAAGGTACTGCAGTCCGAATCTGTGCTCATGACATAATCATGACCCTCTTCGCAGCCCCACACGGCCTGGATGATCCCGCAGTACTCTGAGGACAAGACGCCTTGCAGGCTGGGAGCAATCTGGCAGCTTTCGGCGTGGTTGTGGGTCCACATCACTAAGCTGTGGAGGCACTGGGGGCTGGATGTGATCAGGTCTGCTGTTGGCAGGGAGAAAGACAGAGGGTAGCAGAGACCAGGCATGCCACTGAAACACCTGCCCCACACCATAAGCCCCAGAATAACTGGCTGGCATGGACTATGGCATCTGTGCTAGGTGGTAACACACTCTCTCTCTCTCTCTCTCTCTCTCTCTCTCTCAGTTGTTGTGTTTTATTTATGGAATTTATAGTCTACCCATCCTCCTGAATGCTGAACACATTGCTTTCTGTTAGGCAGAGTTACCTCTTGAAATTACACCACCTTCAGCTCCTTGGATGAAAGATGGACTAGAAGTGTAATAGATGAACAATAAAGCCATGCTAAATACATGCAAAGGGACGCGGGTGGCGCTGTGGGTTAAACCACAGAGCCTAGGACTTGCTGATCAGAAGGTCGACGGTTCGAATCCCCGCAACGGGGTGAGCTCCCGTTGCTCGGTCCCTGCTCCTGCTAACCTAGCAGTTCAAAGGCATGTCAAAGTGCAAGTAGATAAACAGGTACCGCTCCGGCGGGAAGGTAAACGGCGTTTCCGTGCGCTGCTCTGGTTCGCCAGAAGTGGCTTAGTCATGATGGCCACATGACCCAGAAGCTGTCTGCGGACAAACACCGGCTCCCTCAGCCCACAGAGCGAGATGAGCGCCGCAACCCCAGAGTCGGTCACGACTGGACCTAATGGTCAGGGGTACCTTTACCTAAATACATGCAGCTTTGAAGGCAAGGGATGATGAGCTACTGCTTCTTTATATTGAGCTTGGAAGAAGGAAAAACCCACTTGAATATCATCCTGCCTAATACTTGGTTTGCAGAGAGACTGACAGTGGCAAACAGTTGTGTGGGGCTCCTTGTGCAGAAGGGTTCATTTACTGTGCTGTGGCTTTGTCTCATACACAAATCAGGGGTGTGCACTGCAACGTTGATCAAAGCCTTTCTTCAGATGATGGATCAGAGACCAAGTACAAACTGTCATATTATTATGAAGTATACAGAAAAGATCCATGTTCCCAACAGATCTTAGAAATATGCTTGCCTACACTTAAAAAGGAAAAACATTATTTACGTTGTTTATTCATATTCCACCCTTCCTCCTGAATGTTGCACACATTGTTTTCGGTTAGTAATTGCAAGATGCAACTGTGTCTATTTTATTTTGTTATTTTTGTCTTTGTATCTTGGAAATAAAATTGAAGAAAGATAAAAAGAGGTTGCCTGAACCTGTGATCTGGCAAAAGCAGCTGGGGAGCCCTAGCTAGAATTGCACATGGCTGGCTCGTTGGCACTCAAAAGATGAGTTTTCCTTTTCTGTAGCTGATGCTGAGTTATTTTATTTTGGATCGATGTTTTACACTGTTTTTATTTTAGATATCTTTGTGCTTTCATACTGATGGTATCCTGCCTTGGGACTTCTCATGAAGGGCTACTAACAGATGTTTTAGATAAATAAAAATACGGCCTTCCCAAGCGGATGCTGGAGCTGGCCCTAGAGTGCAGAGTCCACCCTGGTCCCCACTAGTCATAGGGAAATTGCCAGAGACTGAGTCCCACATCAGCTATAAGCATAGGCAAAGTGGAAACTGCCCTTAATCTGTGGAAGCAACAGAGCAGCCACAACTGACACCAAGGAGAACATTCAGAGGAGCCAAAACAATCCTACTTACCTAGAGAGGGAGCATCTCCTTTTGCAGCAGGAGGAGGAGGTTGGGCAAGGTTGTCCCTGTACACAAAACAGACAGCAGAGCAAATCAGATGCCTTCTAGGGAGGACAGACCCAGGCAGCACGTGCTCTGGTCTCATGGTGGCAGTTTCACAAACAAAAAATGTGCACAGGCCATTTCCAGCTGCTGGAAACGGGACTTTTGGCCTTGCAAATAAGGCCACATACATTACGAACCCACAAAGTATTTCCCTAGCCCTCTGTACAAAGTGCAAGTCATTAGTGGGACATCAGCAGCCTAACAAAGTATTTTGTATACAGCTCATAAATGTTTGCCTGCTTGGGGGCCAAGTCTTGGTGGCTACTGAGACAAGCCACAAGCAGCCCAGCCTCCTGCGAGTGGAGAAATCTGCTCAACCTACTTTCCGTGTGGCTTGAGGTGGCCAGTGGGAGACAGATTCACCTTCTGGATGAAGGCCTTGAGGATGCTGCGGCACTTGTAAAACTGGGCGTGGCACTTCTTGCAGACAAACTGGGGGAGGGCCGGGTCTTGCCGGACAGCCACCCCCACCAGCCGCTGGAAGTCCGTGAAGAAGACCTGGTCCATGCGCCGCTGCTTCTCGGAGCTCTCCCCCACCACAGGGACCTTTCCAAAAGCGTTCCGCAGGCTCCGAGAGGAAAACTTCCCGTGGCAAAGCCGGCAGTAAGCGGTGCTCACACCCCGGCCGAATCCTGCAAGGATTTCAGGAAAGAAAGGAGGTCACTCGGAGACTAGCATTGCCTTTAGAAGCATAATGAAGGTACAAGGCAGGCAGAGGGCCTTCTCGGTAGTGGCGTCCTCCCTGTGGAATGTCCTCCCTCCACGTGGCAAGGAGATAAAGAATTACAAAACTTTTAGAAGACATCTGAAGGCAGCCCTGTTTAGGGAAGTTTTTAATGTTTGATGCTTTTAGATATGCTGTAAGTCGCCCCGAGTGGCTGAGGAAACCCAGCCAGATGGGCAGGGGAATCAATATTATTATTATTACTACTACCTACCTCTGTATCATCTACAGTAACTGGCAGCAGACCTCTGGGGTATCGGGCAGGCAGCTTTCCCAGACTTGACTGGAGATGCATTGGGGATTGAACCAGGTGCCTTCTGCATGCAAAGCAGGTGTCCTGCCACTGAACTACAGCCCTTAAAAGACTCCTGGGCAGAGCAGGATGGCAGGAGGCAGGACAGAGGAGAAACAAGCCCAACCGTTGTGTGAACTAACTCCCAGAGCATATAAGTGGGTGGCAACCAGAGAAACGCTATTAAATGGTCCTTGCCAAATACCCAGGAACATCCTTTTGGGGCATGGGGGTTGAATTTAATGTATTTGTCTTCCGATTCCATCAATAAAACTTTCCATAATCACAACACGTAAAAGCGTGGCATTCTGCATCAAATGCATAACTCAGCATCCTAAAAATTAGGAGTTTCTTCAAACACACCCAAGGTCCTAGTCCTCATGGATGAAAACAAACTGTGTTAGTGAACACAGGAGCAACCTGAGCTGGAGTAAAGCATCAAGCTGAGTGTTCACCCCTGCTGTTGCAACCAAGAAAGGCAGCCCTGGTCATATTGTCACTGCCCCCCACTCCAGCCCTACCTTCTGGCATCCCTTCGCCTTTTTTGTCTTCGGCTCAGAGAGCAGTCCTTGCTTTGAACCATCCAGCTCCTGCTTTGCCAAGAACTGTGAGAGAAACAGGAACCAATTTCTTTTGTTTTCCTGTTTGCTTTCAAGCAAGTTCTGCTGTCTGTGCAGGGACCTGGTTTGCAAACTGCCCACAGCCCCTCTGCAGCACTTCCTGACTTGGAGGAGCCACAGAGATGATGTCAGCAGTCTTTACTGTGGCACTGGCCAATCAGGCGACTCGTTGTCTCAGAGGCATAGCAAGTCTCCTCTTGATCATGGGTGGCGGCCCCAGCTTAGCACCCAGGACCCTTTCTCATCCAGGACTCCTCCCTCCCCCGCCACCAATTCTATGAGAGAGCAGAGCTGAATATTTTCAAGTAGAGAAGGCAGACAAATGAAACTAAGGTGCCGCAAATCAGGCCTAGAAAACACAAAGCATCAGCTTTCTGTTTTGGTGCTATTCTGCATACTTTCCAGGGTACCAAGCTACCTGTGATTTCCTTTTAACCCTGCAAAAAGCCCTCCAAGCAGCACAAAGGTTTTCTCCTCAAACCCTCAGCCTAGACTTCCCCAGAACCATCTCTGCTAAGCTACATAAAAAAATCCATTCACCAATCAGCTTTCCCATGTAATAGTAAACACACTATACTTTCAAAGCACATTCAAAACATCTTTCCAGGCATTGGAGTTTAAGTTTTGCTGGGAATTGTAACTCTGGGAGGGTAGACAACAGTGCCCAGAATTCCTTCCCTCAATAACAATAAGGAAAGTAGGAGCCTGCAGTTCTTCGTGTTGCTTTAGACTACCACTCCCATCATCCCTGACTACTGGCCATGCTGGCAGCTTGAGACTGCTGGGAACTGGAGTCAAAAGACAGCTAGACTGTGCCCGGTTAGTGAAGGCAATGGAAAATTTAAACAGGTACATTTACCTGATCTGAGGCCAAGAACAAGGGTTACAGATTAACACGACACAAAACCGTCCAACGTTTCAACAAGTACATTAAGTACACATGTGTTTTTGCTATGGTTATGGAGGTGCAATTGCAACCCACGACCCACATGTTGGCATATGAACTGTCAGTGAGTGTGGGACTATCTCCACGCCAAATCAGTTCAGCAAATGTGGAACATGATGGTGCCCAGGTTATTACATCTGTAGAAACCATTACCCCACATCACACCTGGTATAAGAATGTAACAGGACAGATCTATGATTTATAGCTCCCCATAAGGCCTCAGGTTGCACTCCTCTGCAAGGGGGGTGGGGGAGACCAGAGCATGTGGCTACTAGGTAGGGAAAAGCTGATTGATTCCTTGATTCCCTGGTGTTGGGGAGCAACACCATCGTTGTCTATCTAGCAGCATCAACTATGTATCGTCTTCCACAGAATTATCAGCAAAAGATAAATATAAAAAATGCAAGTTCCTGTTCTAAGACTGCAAAATTGTGAGTGAACTCCGTACAACTAAATCATGATACAGGGAGGAACATGAAAATGGATGAGCAACCATTTGCTGCTAAGGAATCTGGGAGCTGAAACCCATCAACCTCTGGAGGAAGGCCAGAGGTTCGTGTCAAGTCCTCATAGAATCATAGAATCATAGAATCATAGAGTTGGAAGAGACCACAAGGGCCATCGAGTCCAACCCCCTGCCAAGCAGGAAACACCATCCTCTTCCTGGTTCTTCCAACTGGCACCTCTCCATGCCTCTGATGGGCACTGATGGCTTCAAAGTGGGAGGCCAGAGCCTCTGTCACCCCTGCTAGGTACTTGTCAGCTCAATGGCCAGGGCATACCCACTTCACGGACAGCCTAAGCAGTGAGATTCAAGGAGGCCCAGCTCAACCAGCTGCCCCAGCGCCCTCTACATCTCGGCAGTTGCACGATGCTTGCGACTACAGCTACCCGGGATGGTGAAAAGTTTTGGGTGCGCCTTGTGGGTGGCGGAGCAGCTAACCTAGGCTGTGCATGGAAGCTCTACAAGAAACCCACGTGACTGGACTCCAGAGCTGCCCACCGGAGAGCTCCGGGTGGCAAAAGGCACGGGCTCCTGCAGTTAGCATTTCAAACGTGACCGATTGGGAGAGGAGAGCGTTGGCTGTTTGCGCGCTCGCGCCTGCCTGCCTGCCTGCCTGCTTGGCGCACATCAGCGACGGATGTGCTGACCCAACGAACAGGAAAAGGCATTCTGCACGCGCTCTGTTCACTGCTTTTCACATCTTAAGGCCCAGCCTCGGCACTGGAAGCAGGGCCAGCCTAGCCCAGCTCCGCCGCCACCCGCTGGCCAGTCCAGCCCCGGTGCCAAGGCGCCTCCCGAGCGCGCGCGCCCCGTCCGATCCCTGCCCGGCGCACTTCCCGCGGGGAAGCGCGGCTTCCTTCCGAGCGCGCACGCGGAGGATCGGGCCGCCCGCCGCCGCCCGCCGGGTCCCCGGAAGAGCGCGCTGCCGGGGTGCCCCTGTCCGCCTGCGCTCACCCGCTGCCGCCGCCTCCGAGGCTGGCGAGGCCCACTGCTCGGGCTCCGGCTCGGGCTCCTGTTCCTGCTCCCGGGAGGTGGCGGTGGGGCGCCCCCGGCGGGCCCGGACACTCTTGGCCTCGGCTGGTGGCGGCGGCGGTTCTGGAGCGCCCCTGGCCGCCGCGCCCGCGGGTAAGAACCGGCCGCGCCGATCCCGCTTCATGGCCGTGCAGAGCCCGGCCCGGCCCCCGCTCGGCAGGCTCTGGCTGCGGCTCCGGCAGCGCCTTGGCTCGGTTCCGGCCCGCAGCGCCCCTGGCGGACGGAGGAGCCTGCCCGGGCAGGAGCTCCGCCCGGCGAGGGGCTCCCGCTCGCCTGCCAGCGGGTGGCGGACCTGCTGCGAGAGCCGCCTCTTCTTGCCCGGAACGGGTCTGCCGCGGGCCTAGAGACGGGCTGAAAGCCGCTTAGTCGGAGCCGCGCCGTCTCCGCTGCCCTTCGACGGATGCGCCCGCAGGGTAGGGAGGGCGCCGGTGCGGCTGGAGAAAGACTGCTGGCAGGGGCGGGCACCGGAAGAGTTTTGCCTTTTAAGTCAAAAGGCTGTTTGGCATCAGGGCAAATAACGAGCGCCAACTTGATTAAAATATTGGGGTTGGGGCAGGTAGGTCCTATCCCGCACAACTGATCACAAGACATGGCACGCGCACACCATTTGAATAGCAGTGCCCATCAACTTTGGGGACCCCAGTTGGCTCCTGCGATGGGCGCAAAGTTCTGGTGTTATGAAAGAGGGACAAAAAGTTTTCTCTTTCTGAGCTTTCCTGAGGAGAGCATTCCAGAGAGAAAGATGGTGTTCACCACCTAGTTCACTTACGACAGTGAGCACATGAGGTGAGGAGGCTCTGAAGACGGGCAGAGTCCTGTAGAGAGTAGATCTTGGATCTACAGAAAGTAGATGCCATTGTGGTGCTGGAAAGCAAGCAAGCAAGCAAGCAAGCAAGCAAACAAACAAACAAACAGACAGACAGACCCTCCTCAAGACAAGCAACCCGTCCTTTACCACTAGACCCCCGCTGTTACTTGAAGAAAAGCCTCTTTGCATAGGTAATGTTGTTTATTATCACCACTGTGTAATAAATATTTAATTTACTACATAAGTAGTGTACCTTCTAAACTGGGTAATTTTGCCCCCAAATCCGGGGGGGGGGGATTAAAGCATTGGTGGCATAATAAAGGTGCCTCGGAGTGTGTTCTATGCATGCTTAGGGGGTAATAAAGAACCTGAGAAGTGCAAAGGATAATTTTCGAAGATATTGCGAAAATTGTGTGTTTTGTAGGCGCATAAGCACATTTGCTATGGGCTTGCATATGTGTGTTACTTGTAAAACTAAGGCTGCACACACCAAATATTACGCATGACTTCTCACAAAGAATCCTGGGAACTGTAGTTTACTCCTTGCAAAGCTTCAATTCCCAGCACCTTTAACAAACTAGTTTCCAGGATTCCTTGGGGGAAACTATATTTTTAAAATGTATATTGTGTATGCAGCCAAAAAGTACGCTACCACCCCCAAAATACCCTTTGCTCCTTTTGTGCTCTCCTCCCAAATATTCTCATGTAGCACCCCCACTGCAAGGGGACCAGCCTGCGATATTCTTGCTCAAATGAGCATAATGCTAATGTGGTGAGCCAATGCAAAATTAGGCTTGCCATACGTCAGGAAAATTCCTGACATGTCCTAGTGTTCGGGTGTAAAAATGGTATCATGGGGGAATTTTGCCGAATCGGCAAAATGTCAGGGAAAACCTAGATGTATGGCAACGCGATGGAAAAACCAGCGGAAACAGTTTCAAAAGCTCAGCAATGTTGGGGTTCAACTTTACGGGTGTCAGGAATTTTACTTTTTGAAATATGGCAACCCTAGCAAAATCGTTAACAACCAAGGCCCCAAAGGGTCTTTCGGAGCGTCTTGCGAGCCCAAAGGTCGCGCTCGGGAAAAGCGACGAGCCTCCCTGCGCGCTGCCGGCCAATGGCAAAGCAGACGGAGAGCGCTGCTGGCAGCAGCTCCGCCCACCTCTGACCTCATTTGCCCCGGCTCCGGTGCTCTAACTCATCCGGTTCTGTCGTGCCCGCTCTCTATTCTTCCCGTCCGGGCGGTGCTCCCTAGAGGAAAGGTTCCGGCCCAGCCATGGCCGCCTCGGCACCCGCCCCGGCAACCCCGGAGCCAGCGGCGAAGCCGCTACAGGGCGCCATGAAGCTGGCCAGGGGCGCCCTCGAGCTGGACGCCGGAGACCGGCCGCGGGTGAGACGGGATGGGGGAGGGGCGGCGAACAGCTCCCCTCCGGCTTTACAGGAGAGGGGAGGTTTTGCTCGGGTCGGAGTACGTGTGAATGCGCATTCCGTGTTAGCTGCTGCCGGGGGTTTGGCGTGGCTTTGAAGAGAGGGGAGGAATTGAGGTGCCTTTGGATTCCCCAAGCCCCTCTCTGCCCGACGTCCACGGGCCCGGGTGGGGTGGGGCTCTTTCCTCTGCGGCGGACAAAGACCCTGCGGGGCATCCCGCTCCTTCTGCGCCAGCGGCCCATCCAGTGGTCAGCGCTGCCCAGCTCCCCTCTTTCCTCGGCCTTGGCGTCCGGCCCCCTACCCTTGCTTCGGAAGCGCCCTTGCACACGCCTCGCATCGCTTCAAGCTCCGTAATGCAAATGCCGTCTGCGGCCGTTGCTTTGTTCCACGACTAGATTGCTGTCTTAAAAAACAACAACACAAAAACGATTATTCATGTGGTGCCTTCAGTGGGTTTCCTTTACTGGTTTCCTTAGGAGGATTTAAATGCACTAGGCTGGTGCCCTCCAGATGTTTTGGACTACAACTCCCATCAGCCTTTGTTAGGGGCTGATGGGAGCTGTAGTTCATAAGACGATCCTGCTGGATCAGACCAATGACCCATCTAGTCCAGCATCCTGTGGTCAACCAGATGCCTGTGGGAAAGCAGGGCCTGAGTGCAAGAACACTCTCAGCAAAGTGTTTTCTAGCAACTAGTATTCAAGAGCATAGCTGCCTCCAACTGTGGAATTCAAAACATCTGGAGGGTACCATGTTGGATCAAGCTAGGCCTTGCCCTTTCACGAACACTCATTTATTTGGCTTCAAGTTAGGATTAGAGCCTGCCACACCCCCTTCAGGGCCGAGAGTAGCATTTCTTTGTGGCCAACTTTTCAGGGGTTGCATGTCAGAGGTGGGCATGGCCAGAGGCAAAACTGAGCAGAGCAACAGATGTGGCGTCATTACATTAAATGTTCCTGTAAATGGCCCATTGCCAAGAAAAGCCGACATGGCCACATTTTATTTCAAAAAAGGAAACTTCCCCCAAATGAGAAGCTTCCCCCAAATGGGATTGGTAAAAAGAAATTTGAAAGGCAAAGTCAAGATTCAATTCAAATTCAATTCAAAGATTCAAATCATTCCAAAACGCTTGGGAGATGTTTAAAAACATAATATTAGAAATTCCACTGGAGTGTATACTGCAGATCAGGAAGGTACCACGAGGTCCAGTGCTGTTACAGGCAAGGAGGCTTCCTTTAAAAAGTGGAAGTCTTGTCCAAATGAAGGGAACAAAAAAAAGCACAAACCTTTGCGCAAAAAGTGGCTGCAGACAGCAAGGAATGCTAAAAATATATATTGAGCACATTGCTAAAAACATTAAGACAACTACAAAGTAGTTCTTTAAATGTATTAGTAGCAGGAGACTTTCTTGGCAGGTGGTTGGTCCCTTTGGCACACGAGGAAGTCAAAGGTGTGCTAAAGGAGAAGAAATTGCAGAGAAAGCAAATGAGATGTGGGTCTTGTCTTCACTATGGAAGATATAGGGCAGACCCCATGGCCTGAACTAACTTCTGTAAGAGGGGAGTATGAGAAACTGAGGCAGATACCGGTGACAAGAGATGAACTTGTAGGCCTAAGAGACAAAATAAAAATTATTGTGTTTGAATCCTGCTTGCAGGTTTCCATAGGCATCTGGTTGGCCACTGTGAGAATCGGATGCTAATCTAGATGGATCTTTGGCCTGATCCAGCAGGCTCTTCTTATATTATTACCTCTGCTCTATAGCACCCCAAGTGGCAACATTTTCAGGGCTGACAATGCAAATAGCACACTGCCTGAGAGAGCTGTCACAACATCCTCTGGGACAGGATTCTGACTTATGCTTCCCAAATTGTTGCACTGCAGCCAAGCATCTGGGACTGGTCTTGAGGATGGGAAGAGTAGGAGCTGGGGACTTACCCTGCTGAACTGTATTTCTCTCCTGTCTCCCTCTGTTTGGCAGGAAGCCTACGTGGAATACCTGAAGAGCATCAGCTACATTTCCCAGGTCCTGTTGGAAGAGGCGGCAGCAGGCAATGGTGTGTCTAGGGTTTTGCTTTGCAGCTTAAGTGGTTGCTCTCCTGGCTGGTTTATGTATCTCGTGACTGGAAGGTGCCACTTCCCGAGGTGGCGATGGGCTCGTGTGGATTGCTGAGCCCTTAGGCTGCCTCCGTGGCTCTTAAGAATGGGTTCTACAGGAGACTAGGAGGACTGTTAGAAATAAGCAAACATGTCTGGATACTCAGGACCAGAACAAATATTTGTAGAGGTCAGAGGCAACAAACAGTGTATTTGCTTAGGGAGTTGTGAACTCTGCTGTGCCCCCACCCCACCAAGTTTTCCTACTAGTCAATAACATCCCTCCTCTCCTGGATAGTGAAGCTGGCTGGACAAAACTGGGCAGATTTTATGGCTCCATCTGGCATGGAGCCTTCAGAATGTCGAGGTGGAGGGACTCTTGAGAAGGCCCTTTGTTAAGCTGCTGTTGGCTGGAGGCACATTGCCAATTGCTGCAGTTCTTGAGTGTGTTTGTGGAAGGCTTTGGGGCTGCTCTTTCCTGATGCGGTTCCTGCAAGATGGGCCAATTGTTGTGGAACAAGTTTGGAGAACGTAGCCTTCCTGGCAAGATGGGGGCAGGGAAGGTGACCTTGTGGTTGATGATAGCGAGCCTGAGGATATTTGGCTTCCAAATGTGACGGGGCTGAGGCATTGCACTTTTTCTGTCCTTCCCTTACAGCGGATGGAAACGACATGACACCCGACACTCCCAAGATGCTGAAAGTGGCAGAGCAGTGCCTGGAAAGAGCCAAAAGCAGCATTGCCAAAATCGGTGAAGGATGTCCCCCCCCCTCTCTCTTGCTTCATTTCTGTTATTAATTTTGTTGTTGTTAAAATGTGACTTTGGGCTGAAATTCCAGGATGAAAGCTAAGG